GGGGATTCAGAATTCCAGGGAAAAAGGACCCCCAGACCTTGGGAATCGTCACGGGGACTGTGGGATGAGGGAGAGGATTGAATCCAGAGGGGATTCAGAATTCCAGGGAAAAAGTGGGAATCTGGGGGTCAAAGGTCCCTCCAGGAGATTCTGGGATGAGGGACAGGGTTAAGAATTCCAAGCGGATTCAGAATTCCAGGGGAAATTTGGGAATCTGGGGGTCAAAGGTCTCATCAGGAGATTCTGGGATGGGATAAATCCTGAGGAGATTCAGAATTCCAGGGAAAAAGGACCCCTGGGAATTTGGGAGCAGGGAGAGAGAGAGGATATTCCCAAAATTCCCCAGGATTTGGGAATGGATCCCTCACCCACGAATCCCATTTTTCCGGACACACAAAACACCGGAATTCCGGAATTCCATAAATATTCCAGGTGGGATTTGGAACCTCCATAGAAGCCCAAAAGAAGCGGGAAATTCCCTTCCGGGAAAATCCCGGAAAAATCCCATTTTTCCGCCTCCCCAACACCAAAATTCCACCCGGCGCTCCAGGATTTTGGGAGCGGGGAAAGAGAGAGAGGATATTCCCAAAACTCCCTGGGATTTGGGAATGGGGGGTCCCTCACCCACGGATCCCGAGGCGGCGATGGCGGCCGCTTCCGACAGCACTTCCACGATTCCCGCCCGGATCGGGGCCGCGCTCCGACTGTTGGCGTCCAGGTGTCCCAAAAGTTGTTGGATCACCAGGTGGGAATGCTGGGGCTGGAAGAAAAAAATCGGGAATGGCGTCGGGAAGAGCGGGAGGAGCCGGGGGGAGGTTTTCTGGGAATGACACTTCCCAGGATCCCAGGGAAGCCTCTTTTCCATGAATAAACGGGAATTTGGAGCCGTTTTTCCAGGAGAAATGATCCAAAGGGTTGAGGAATTCCATGGGAATGGTGGGAATTGATCCCGAGGATTCCAGGGAGGAGGGATTGGATTCCTGCCGGGGATTCCCAAACGCGGTGGGAATTCCAGAGGTGCTGTGGCCTCACAATTCAAACGGGATTTTAGGAAATCTGGGAATCCTGACCTGGAATTTGGGCCAATTTCTGGGAATTAGGGGCATTTTATGGGAGAAATTTCTGGGAATTTGGGGATTTTTTGGGATTAAAAACCCGGGAATGGGATCGGGGGGGAGGAGATCCGAGTTCTCCAGGTGGGAATCCAAAGGGAAAACAACAGGAATGACACTTCCCAGGATCCCAGGGAAGCCTGTTTTCCATAAAAAACCAAGGATTCAAAGTCATTTTTCCAGGAAAAATGATCCAAAGGGTCGGGGAATTCCACGTGGGAATGGTGGGAATGGATCCCGAGGATGACAGGGAAGAGGGATTGGATTCCTGCTGGGGATTCCCAAATTGTGGTCTCAAAATTCCAATGGGATTGGATGAAATTTGGGAGGAATTTAGGGGAATTTGGGCATTTTCTGGGATTAAAAACCCGGGAATGGGATCAGGTGGGAGCAGATCCCAGGGATTTTTCCATAAATAAACAGGACTTTGGAGCTGTTTTTCCAGGAAAAATGATCCTGAAGGTCGAGGAATTCCATGGGAATGGTGGGAATTGATCCCGAGGATTCCAGGGAGGAGGGACTGGATTCTTGGAATAACATTCCAGGATCTGGGAATGCCGGGGTAGCCCCCAAGGCTCTGGAATATCCAGGAATATCCCTCTTTTTTTCCCCTCATCCCAGAAAAAAACGTGGATCAGCAACTTCCCCTCAGAATTCCCAACTTCCCCCTCAGAATTCCCAACTTCCCCCTCAGAATTCCCAACTTTCCCCTCAGAATTCCCAATTTCCCCCTCAGAATTCCCAACTTCCCCCTCAGAATTCCCAACTTTCCCTTCAGAATTCCCAACTTTCCCTTCAGAATTCCCAGCTTCCCCTCAGAATTCCCAACCTTCCCCTCAGAATTCCCAACTTTCCCCTCAGGATTCCCAACTTTCCCCTCAGGATTCCCAACTTCCCCCTCAGGATTCCCAACTTCCCCCTCAGGATTCCCAACTTCCTCCTCAGAATTCCCAACCTTCCCCTCAGAATTCCCAACCTTCCCCTCAGAATTCCCAACTTTCCCCTCAG